TCTAGTTACAAATAAAATGAAAGGCACACTAAACAGTGAGGCTTGGGTCTTAGTGCTGGGTAGCACTGATAAAATTCATGATATTTTCCAAATATATCACAGTATCAGATTATATTTTAGTTTGCACTGATAAAGCAACTGAAGCTGTGCTTGCTAATGCTAAAGCGATGTCTTACGAACTGGACGTAACTTTTCTCCTCTTAAAATGACACCATACAAAGTATTGTAAGCCTTAACCAGACAGAAAGAAAACTTATATTTAGGTCTTTTTTTATGCATTTCCTTCAAACCAATCTGCACTGTAGTATGCTAACACACTGCTAACGCTAAAACTCATCTTTCTTAGTTTATCGGTATAGACGGCGGGAAATATCTCGCCTCGCACCAGGGAGTACTGACATCACGAAGTGGACGACATGTCTGGCGCCAGACCCAGATACCTGCACAGAAATTTTCCACCAGATTGTTTTTTATCTTCCCGCAGGCTCAGAGCGCTAGCCTGCAGCACGTCTGTTCTGGCAGTGATAGGCCTCGTGTGCATATCCGTTTACCAACTACAATCTTCCAGCAGTGCCAAAAGAACAATTTGTGCTCCGGAGTTTCAGCGCCAAGGAGTGGTCAAAGGGTTCAGCTCTGAGGGGCCGAAAGCAGGGCAAATCATCCCTACATGACCTTCTTCTCAGCTCTCCCCAGAAGGGTCACGATCTGTGGCTGGGGTTGTGTGTTTATGGATGGCTGGGGGGTAATGTGGGTTATGTTGCTCTCACATTAATTAATGAGTACTTTGAACTGAGCCCTGCTGGAGTCAGGCATTTCTCAGCCGCCCCCACCTCTTCACCACACTGCTTTTCCATACTGAACCATACGACAACAAAACTGCCCTTGGCATCCCAGCTCAGCATACCAAGACTCAGGCCAGCAGTGAGTAAGGAGCTAAGTATGGTCCCACCAGACTTCCATCTCTCCAGTTTCACTCTATACTGCCAGCAGTACAAACTCCATGCCATCGTTTATGTAACTGTTTACTCCCAGCCTCGTGGTTTTATTGTCTTCAAATGGCATGGGCCCGTTCCCGTTCCGGGCTATGCCGAGCACCCTGGTCCCGTTTCATTCCCTGGCACTAGGAGCTAATGTGTTTTCCTTGGATATGCCGTTGGGACATCCTAATCATAGACCCGCAGAGTGCAGTCTGCCAAAGATACCGGCATATTCCGTTCTTCACATCATTCATGTCAGGCTTAGTCAGATTTTTCTGCTTGGGCATCTTCGAATTTTAGTCAGAATGAAAATTAAGCAGGTTTTATTGTAACTTTTTAAATGTATATAATTTTTTTTTTCATTTTCTTCTTTATTTTTTTCTTTTTTTTAAATGCATATTAAACAGCCTTTAATTTATATTTTTTCTGAAAGTATATGAGATTTTGCAACACCATTTTCTTCCATTTTTTTAACATCACAGATGCATTTTTTTATTTGAAAATATCTGAATTTCAATAAAAATTCAGATATTTCACAACATTTCACAATATTTTGTTCATCCTATGTTTCCACAGATTTGCGTTGTCCATTTAAACTTTAGTAAAATTGCAAATTAAGAAGACTTTATTTGATATTTTCAAGATACAAAAGTCTAAATAAATAGAACCCATTTGTCCATTTTTTTGTTCATTTTTCTTGTAACACATTTTTATTGCAACTTCAGTAAAAATGCAAATAAGGAAGATTTTATCAAATGTTTGTTCACCACACAGAGCAACTTTTCACAACTTTTAAAGTCAGTCTCAAATCAAAATTGACTCTTATACCTTTCTACCTTCATTCCCCTGCCCATATTCTACATTTTTCTTCTCCTTTTTTTTAATTTTTTCACTTTCGACTTTTAACACTTGTATGGTTTTATTTACCGGTTATCATTCATTTTTACATAACCATTTCTAAAACCTCTCTTTTCCTTTAGCATTAATGGGCTGTTTTGTTACTGTGCCTTTAAGACTGATACATATGTAAATGAGCTCTGTTCTGATTGGCAGCTATACAAAAAGCATTCCAAGCTAAAACACTTACAGCTACTGTGTTAGCGGGTGAGGCTAACCTGCTACAAGCTGATTAGACTGATATATGCAAATTAGTTTTTTTTTAAATAATTCTTTTAAAATAGGCTGCTTAGTTTCCATGTATGGACTGTATGAACTGGAGAGTGAATGATGAAAAATAATATTTATCAAATAACCCTTCCTTATACTGTGTTTCACTCCGAAATGTAACAGTATGGAAGGAAATGCATTATCCATTATATTTCTGATTCATGTTGACTTTAATATTTCCATTTTTTACCTCTCTTCCTTATCTGTTGCCTGGATTCATTTGTCCTTGTTGCTTCTATAAAGTGAGTCTGATATGTATACGAGTAAGTTCAGGCTGTGCTGATTCTCAGAGCGCCCCCCAGCAGTGGGTTTATTTAGTCTTCTTCCACGAACAGTATCACTGTTTCAGTTTCAGCAGTGCTGGTGCTGCCACCCTGCACAGTTTCTAATTTGACACAGGCAGCGCAGAGGAACCTGCACACTGCATGTTTCCACTCTGTCATCTGTTGGCACCCAAGGACAGGTGCAAAATCCCCCCCCCGGCCCCCTCACCCAAGACCCTGTCAGCTAGGCCTCCTGTATTTGATCTCATTTTTCACAGCACTCCTGGCGTCACCTGTCTACAGCCAGAACACAATCAGAGGAACAGTTTTAGTCAAAATGCTAGCACTGCTTGGCAACCGCCAAATTGCATTGGCCACTATATGAAAGTGCGCTTACATGCAGTCCATTTTCTTTTGAAATGAGCCGTGGCAGAGTTGCCGAATCAAACATTCTTGCCCTTCTGTGGCCTTTTGTTTGGTAAAAGATTCCAGAGGAACGTCTGAAGAGCCTATTTGTTATGAAAGGAGATGGAAAACTCCTCCCAGTGCTACGACTGCAGAGCAGAGCATGTGTCCTGGAGTGAGGACAGCTATTCTGGGCCGACCTGGCTCAATCTGCTGACCGTGCCACCGTTTGTCAACTATATTTTACTGTTAGCATGAAGTGTACTTCACTAATGTGGCTCTGGTGTGCATGACAGCTTATGGGGGTTTGCTAGCAACTAGTTTTTAGCAATGTTAGCACGTTTTGCTGAACTGTTCCTCTCAGTTTGAAGTCTCGGTGAAACAGAAAATGAATGATGTTGATGTCGATGAGATGGGTGATGTTGAAAGCATTGGCACATTTTGGCAGAGAGAGTGTCGTGTTAGCAGTTACGCCCTTTGATTTGAAATGCACATGCCTGAGTCCGCTCTGCTATGTCAAGTTTATAGGGTACAGCTTCACATTTCATCCCCTGAGGTAAAATTGATCCATTACTGTCTTAACTGTGCATGAGTAAGCTTCTTCTGAGGATTTGAGTGGATGTGTTTGTCAGGAGAGTGACACCAAATAAATCATGTCTGTCGGCCTTCTCCGATTACAGCGCTGGGGCTCCAGAGCCTCTCTTATTTTGACATGCCGTGCCACCTGCAGCCTGATAGTTCGTGAGTCAGGGGGATCCTGCTGTAGGGTGACAATACAGATTGGCTCTCCAGTCTGAAAATAAATGAAGTCGTACAGTTCAGTTTGTGTCAGTGTAACTCATCAGTGACTCAGTTGTACAGTAAGCATACTCAGTGTTTGAATCAGCTGTGCTAGATGGCTGGAGTCCAGCACAGTTTGGTCATTTTCCTGCATTTACATACTCTGTTGACATATACTACAAGAAAATAAGTTAACATGCAAATTATTGTATTTTAATAAACTTAAACATGGAATTTTTCTGCAGATTTTAGTGCATAATTTCTATTCATTTGCTAAGTTTAACAGATTGGAAAAAACACAATGGAAAACACAAAATGTGCTATAATTTTTGCACAATTCATTTGATTTTTTTTCCCAAAATATGTACAATTCAGAAAATAAACAGTAATTGTACATTACATTATGTGGAGGTGTTTCTCTGTAGACGATGTTTTAACTTGTTTTCACTTAGAAAACCAACGATACATGCCATTTGACCAGGGGTGCTCAAACCTTTGCATACAGCTGCACCTACTAAGCCTGGTCATTAACTGGGGAGTTTTTGAACAGAGAAATGACCAAACTGTGCTGAACCCTCTAGGACAGATGGGCAGGTCTGATCAAGGAGAAAGAATAGTGCATAAATGTTCATGAAATTAATGCAATTGTTATTATTTATTCATAAGTTCCTTGTGTGTCTGAAAATATGAATGTCTGAACATGATCTTTTCTCATTTGGGGCAGTTAGGGCTACATCACTACTGTCAGAACAAAACCTTACATCTCCATTTTTTACTTTTTTTTTGGCATAAAATTTCACAAGTGTCCCAATAGTAGTAGCTCAAAATGACTTGGAATAAAATCCTGCCACTGTAACTTACATTGAAAGTTACGAATGTTTTTTTAATTCTGTAGAATAACTTTTTTGGAGATGCAATGCTTTACTCCAACAGCAACGACATGAAAAGCAGATAAGAAGCAGCTTGAGATGTTGGTTTACAAAATGAATGATGCTCATTTGAACATTGCAGGAACTAAATTCAGGGAATCATCGCAATAACGTTTAGAATGAATTAAGATGTGAACATCTTAAATGATGGTCTGATGTACTGACCCTGACCTCAAACCTGTTTTGCCCTCTTGAGATTCATCATGAGACATCTCCAAGCGTTTTCCAGTTTGAGTTACACTGCAGATTGACATGGAAAAAAGTTTATATCATTTCTTTCCATATAGTGTACTTGTTTATGTGCTTGTCTATGTACTGACCATCTTTGACACCTGGTAGTCGGGCATCTTCTCGAGTTTAGCATTTGAAGCATCTCAGATGTCACACAACTCTTCCCCATCCACCACCCTCCCCCAAACCCCTATTGACGTAGGACCACCCACCCACCCACCCCCCCCAACAAAACCTCGCCAGTTAATTTAGGGAGGCAGGTTCATTCTATTCTTAAAGCTAACTCTAGCTGGACGAGTTGCAGGAGTGTGGAAAGAAACAAGGGCACACTGGTCATTGTAGGACTTCAGATTTGCTTGGTGCTTTTTGAAAGAAAGGAGAGGTTATTTATCTTCTGAGGTATTGTTTTCCATTTATATCTTATTCCTGGATTTATTATAAATAATTAAGACAACAAAACTGGCTGCATTGTGCAAAGAAGTTGGCAACAGAGAGACTGCGGTATTTGTGATAGACTGGCTTCTTGCTAGTTAGCATTGTTTTTTTTTGCGATCATGACTTCTGTGGAAACTGGTCCTGGAATTGACCTTATCCAGGTCAGGATTGAGTCTCTGAGCAGCAAAATGGACACTCTTATAAGCATCCAGGAGAAGGTCCTGAGCCGTCTTGACAGCATGTCCCAGGACATTGATGGGATAGAGAGGGACATGGAAACTCTGAAACTGGACAAGGAGGAGATCAGTCCTCCTCCAGCAACATGCAACGAAGGACCAGCTCGAGGAGTCAGAGGCGAGATGAAGGAAATGTGCCAAGAAATGAGCAGCATCATGACAGCGGTCAACCAGCGTTCGGAGCAGCAGGCCCAGAAGCTTGAGGGCATGGAAAGGCTGGTGCTGAGCATCCAGCAGGTCGTCAGCTTCATTGGGGAAACCGTCAAGACGTCCAAAGTCATGGAGCTCATGTTTAAGGGGCCAGCAGCACGCAAGCACAAAACGTCTTTAAGCTTGGGGCCCAAGAACAGGGATAACAAAGGCAAACAAACCGCTAAGAAACAGGCCTCCGGTGAGGTTCCTCCAGGCAAGGTGAGTCACATTTGTTGGGTTAGCAAAGCAGCAGTTGCTTGGTGGTTATACACTAGCTGTAAAACACACTTTCCACACCCAACCCTTGAGAATTCGCTGAGTAGTTTGTATTTTTGTTCCAAGTTTGTTTCACAAATTCAGGGCTTTATTTTTGGCCCCCAAAAAGTGCCGTAGAGCAAAAACTACTGAGACTCGGTTGTAAACCTTTGCTTTAGATAAATGAATGAGTATACTTGTGGACATGAACTGCCTTCCCTAGGGAGCCCAGGTGGAGGGAAGCCTCAAGGGGCATTGACTAAAAAGTTTGCTTTGGTGTAGAAGCTGAAATTTGAGAAGATGGTCCAAAAAAATGTGTGGAAAAAAGTGTGAGAGTCATAGTTTGCTTTGTATAGACCTATCAAAGCTTCGGTTGATGTGGTCAGTCCTAATGTGTTTTCCTTACACACACATCTATGTCTTAAATCAGTGGTCTGACTTTGGAGTTATTCACTTTTTTAAGGCTGACAAAACAAATATAAAGTCTCACAAAAGGAATTCTAAGCAAAATCCACTACAAACATTCTCATCTCTGTGGTTTAGCTGTGCTTAATTCTGTTTACACCTTTATCTGCTCCAATATCAGGCAAAATGATCTTTATCAAAGCAGAGTTTGTTATGGGGGGTTTACCAGATTTGGTAGTGTACATGAAGTTGAAGAGCTGCCATATCCTGTCCAAGTTTCATTCTTGGGATTGGGTCTTAGCATGTTCTTCTTGTGAAAGGACAACCACATATCTGCACTTTACCTCTAGTGCCCCCTTTTGGTGTAAGAGTCAATAGCATCTGGGATAAATAGTACAACTCCAGAGCTAAAGTACACTGGGGTAACAGTTGTACCACTGCAACTTAAGCAACCTTAATTCTATAAGAAATTGTTAATAATATTGTGATTGGCTTCATTCATTCATCTTTAAACAAACTGGACAATGGTGTCAACCACATTTATGCTTTGGGCAAATGCTTCTTACTCAGTAACTCCTTCACAGTGCATGTATTAGCCTACATTAAGTCACATGAACCACAGCACTGGTCTTTTTAACCATAAATGGCCTCCTCTTAATGTATTTTGACCATGAGGCCTTGCATACCATCAGGGAATCGACAGGGCATGGTAAACATCTTCACTTTTTCAAGTTAGGTAGTTACCATAACCATAGATTGGCTAGATTAAAGCAGATGAACTCTAATACCATGTATGGAGTCTCATGAGTCAGGTATGAGATTCATAAGTGGGCTGTATAATGCTTGCATAAATTGATCCCTGATGGCCTACTAAGGTGACAATGGTTAGCATGATTCAAGTGATTAGGAATGTGTGTTACCGTCAGTGCTCGCGTCAGAGACTTGCACTAAGCTCTCCCGCCTTCCGGGGGTGCGAGATGTTTGCGTTTAACCACTGTCGATCATTCCTTTCATCTGTATGTTTGTCATTCAAAATAACACCTGTTGGTAAGGAAACCTCACGCTTCAAACACAGTTATGGGTCTATGCTCTTAAAGAATGTCTGAGCCAGAGGGCTGATCTGGAATCAGGTTCGCAGGTTTGTATATTTTGGGAATGGCGAAAGGTAAAAAATGATCCGAGATTAGCCCACTTTCCCCAAGAAGTCAGTAAATACAACCCCTGGGTCTTTTGAACAGTCTTACAGTGCTGGTCTGGGGTCAGATTTCTCTCCGGCTTAAGATGATTTTGGCAGTTCCAGGAAAATGATTTTGATGATTGTGAATTCCGAGAAGAGCCTTATTTCTTCTCGTAGTACTTTCTGGAATTTAGCCTTTTTGGGAATTTCACTTGGATCCTACATATATATAAATTGGAATTTGTGATTGTCTTTTTGGAATCTCATATTCAGCAATTGAACTGTATTATTCTAATGCATCGATTTAAAAGTCTGAATCCCAAAATTGGGAAGCATGTGAAATTTCCCAAAAAAGAAAGTATCCATGTGAGATTAAAAAAGTGATCCTGAGTGCAAAATTCCATTTTCCTGGAATTTAGGATCACTATCTTGGAATGTGGGATACATTTCTTGGAATTACCATGATTTTGTGTCACTATCAAATATACTATTCTACAGTATGAATGCTGATTTATGATCAGAGTTCACTTGTATCTATGAAGATCTTATGAATGAGATATTTCATGAATAATGACCAATACCTTATTGTGGATAGACCTGGATAACACTGATGTGGGAAGACCTGGGATGCCACTAGAGGACCTTCCATTGTTGTCATCAGTTGTGTCTAATGTTTTATATTCCCTGAAGCGGCATGATGTTCCAGATCTATCAATAGCAGAGCACAGGCTGTGTTCTTACCCAGTGGACAAACTGACCACTTGTTATAATTTGTTCGAGCATTGAACAGGAATGTTTTAACACGCCAAGCCCCATTAACCTGAATCTCAATCACAGAATCATCTAGTTGTACATCATTCTTATTCATTCTAACATTAGCATCATAACATCATTCTAACATCTAACATGATGTGGTATTTGTTCTTATTCATTTCTTCCATCATTTCAACAGCTGCTCACTTTTGTAAACCATGTTTCTGTGCCATTACAAACACAGTAGCTCATTAGCGCATGCTAGCATTCATCAGCCCCTGTGCTAACTATTCTCCTGTCTGACTCATGCTATTCATATTGTGTCTGCAACAGAAAGCGGCCTCTATTAAACCTGTTAAAGGGACAGAAGAGTTAACCCTGGCATGTGAACCCAGCAGCTTGGAGTCTACTCACAAGCTAAAACTTCACGGACCAAAGCATTTCCTTTCCTCAAAGAAATCCTTCAACTTTGTACGTTCACCTGTCGTGTCAGTGTCAACCGTGTTAGTTTCATCTTAAGGGAATTCTTCAATGCTAATGCTAAAAGGGACAAAAACTAGCACTTAGGATTCTGCTGATTATATTACAGTAACTGGTCCAAAGTTGATTTAATTTGGCGTTAGCCACATTAGCATTTTCACTGAAGTGTTCCCTGAAGAAGAATATTTGTAGTAGCTGTTTTAGCCATTAGCTTGCCGTATCAGTTGATTGAGTCCTTAGCTGCAAGCAGTAGATGCAGTACCATTCTATGCTGGTTGAACAAGCATAGAATGATTGAAGAATTTGCATGGTTGCATAATTTATTCTCCCCTTAATTTATCTGCTCTGTTTTTCCTTCCTCTGTTTGTCCTCCAACACTGAAGTTGAAGGATCACAAGGTGAAAGATGGAAAGGAGAAGTCGCGTCTAAGCTTCAAGGGCTTGAAGGCACAGAAGAAAAAGAAGCCCCCAGACACCACAGGTAGGAAGCACGAACAGATCATATTTTTCAGCTATTTTTTTCTTTTCTGGTTCTTCCCTCTTAAAAATAAAGGTGGCGAAAGGTTCTTTGCATGATGCCATAGAAGAACCATATTGGGTTCTCTAAAAACCCTTCAATGAGTGGTTCTTCAAAGAACATTTTGGAAAAAAGAATGTGTAAGTGTGAAGAACATCCACCTAATGTAAAGGTTAGAAGAACCATTAAATTGGTGTAGAACTTGTACATTATGAGAAGGTTTTTCAAACCTTTTAAAGATTCTTCATCTTCAAAGATGGTCCTTTAAAAGTGGTTCTTCTATGGCAGTGTTTTTCAGTTCCTGTTCTGGACGCCCAGTGTCCAGCACATTTTTGGTGATTTTCTTGCTCTAGCACATACAATGGTGTTTTAGGGCCACTGTTAATAAAAATAAATAAAAAAAATAGCCTCACCTAAAGGACCCTTTGGACACCCTTACTATAGAGTGGTGGACACTGATACCTAGAATTTGGTCCCCAGTGAACTGACATGATTAAATTAGATGTTCTTGTGTTAAGGGTAAGTCGATGATCGGAGTAAACTGTAAAATAGCTGCCAGAACTATGGATTTCCTCTCTTTTGGATCTCCTTTATGGATTAAGTGTTGTGGGGGAAATTGAAAGAAAGCCCATAACACAGATGGTTATTTGCACACCAGGGTAAAATTCTTCTTTTTCCTCTACACAGATGCTGCCTCTCTGAAGAAGCAGGCCCTGCTGCTGGAGGAAGTTCAGAAGCTGAACAGAGAAAATGCTGAGCGTTCGACAGTGTCTGTGGGGATGGAGGTTGAGGCAACTCTCAGCCAAAACCTTCTGGACTTCATCCTGGAGGAAACCAAGGCTCCAATTGCCGAGCAAGAGGAGCTCTCAGAGGAGGAACGGGATGTCGGTGTGGAGCTGAAAGAGGAGGAGGAGGAGGTAGTGAAGGTGGAGAATGGACCAGAGGAGATGCCAAAGGAGGAAAAAGAGGAGATCACAAAGGTCCCTGAAGAAGAGGGAAGGGAGGAAGGTTCTGACAGTGTCCCTGCTGTAGAGACTGAGAGGTACACACTTCAAACCTCTTTGGAAAACTACATAAAACAAAAAATGAATGAAGTGTGCTTTAATAGGTACTCAGAAAAAGCTCTAATGCAGTAATTCTAACAATGCTGACAACAAATTGTTCTAGATTTCATATGGTTCTTAGCACAGAGTCTGGTATGTTGCAGCATACGTTTGTAGTGGAACTCATTTTTTGGTGGAGGAAATTGCCAATACCTATGTCACGTCTTTTATATATATATATATATATAAAAGATGTGCTAATTGCCCCCTGCTAGCTTCCATTCACTACCAGCAACATCACATTTGGTTGAAATGCTTCTCTAATGTATATCTTTCAGCTGTGAATCAGAACAAGTGGATGAAATGACCACTAGCAGCAAGCGGCGTGTGACAGAGGAGGACCTTGAGCTGGAGGACCACAAGAAGAGCAGGGTGGAGGAAGGTGACGATGAGGAGGAAAACCAGGCTGAGGTGCCTGAAGATGTGCTTGCTGTTTTCAAAGCGGACGGAGTGGAAATCCATATAGATTTCAGCAAACAGAAGCAACAGGAGGATAACATACCTGACGAATCCGAGTGCGAGCAGTTCTTCATTGGTGAGGACTAAAAGGGCTGACATTATATTTGGAGAAACGAATAGTGAATAAAATAGCTGCAGTTAAATAGATTCAGTCCAAAGGTGTGGAATCCTTTATGGCCTAGAAGATCTCCAGGCAGACAGGGAAATATCAGCAAGCTGACAATCTGGCATGCATGTTCACTTCCTTGTTTTCTCGGGTCAGATCGTGTCATGCCAGCTAGAACAAGTGAGACAGCATTAGGAGCCTAACTGAATTACTAGCAATAAATATAGGATTACTATTGTATCTGCCAGCTGCTGAAGTCAGTCGACTATTACTGTTCGTATGACTGCAGCAGTTATGTACTTTAAATATGTTGTCACTGTCAGATCAAAGCCTTTAATCTTCATTGTCATTTTTCATTTGTACCAGCAGCCCTTTATACCGAATGATTGGAATAATAGAAATAGCCCTAATGGACCATTAACTCTTTGCACTAATTTACACTGAAAGAACATTTTGTCTTCACTTTTAAAGTGACAGTTTTGGAGATACGCAGGAAGCACTTCATAACAAATAATGCAAATAATATAGTAAATAGCAAATGAGTTTGTGGTGGAACTACTTTTTTTGGCAGAAGAAATATTGGCCAATACCTAAAACATAAATTGTTGCTGTCAGAACAAAATTTTCTATCTCCATTTTTTTGCCTTTTTTTGACATAATTTAAAATGCCATTTGCCTTTAACATTGTGTGAATGGACCAATAGACATGGCCTCAAATTACTCAGAATAAAATCTCTTTTAATTAACTCACATTGAAAACTAAGGACATTTTTTTCTTCTCCTTTTAAAGTGGCAGTTTTGGAGCTACTCTATAGCACTTTATAGCAAATAATATCTAGTGGATAGAGAATGAATTAGCAAGTGAATCATAGTGAAGTACTTTTTTTGGTGGAAAAAACTGTGAATACCAAAAACATAACTTGCCTTTATGAGAACAAAACCTTGTATCTCCATTTTTGTTTTTCATTTTTTTTTATGTAACTTGAAATACCAGTTACCCTTAACATTGTATGAATAGACCAATAGAAATGACCCAAATATTCCAAATTTCAAAATTACTTGGAATAAAATCTCTTTACATTAACTTACATTGAAGGTTACTTAAAGTTACTTAAAACCATTCTGGAGATACTCTATAGTGCTCACTTTATAGCAAACAATAAAGGAAATGGGTTAACGAGTGAACCATAGTGAAGTTTGTGCTGGAACTACTTTTTTTAGAAGAAATTGCCCATTTTTAAAAACATATATTGTCTTTATTGGAACAAAACCTTATCTCCATTTCTGTCATTTTTGTTTTTCATGTTTTGATGTAGTTTGAGATACCAGAAATTTAGATATACTTTATAGCAAACAAGCTTTTGGTCTGATAGCGACAATATATTGCTTATAAATTTAAGTATTTAAAAAAGCTTTAAAGTTACCATTTTGCCGATACTCTGTAGCACATTATATCAGGTAATATGTAATATGCAGTGAATGAGTTAATGAGTGAACCTCAGTGAATTTTTTAGTGTAACTACTTTTATTAGTGGAAGAAAAGATCAATACCAAAAACATAAATTGTTACTGTTGAAACGAAACCGTTTTTTCTCCGTTTTTTATTTTTTGACATCATTCCAAATATAGTAAGTCACCATTTTGGAGACACTTTCTTGCAAAGACTTTATAGCAAACAAAATTTTAGTCTGATAGTGACGATATTTTACTTATATATAAAATATAAGAACGTTTTTAAAGAGATACAATGTTGTAGTTCAACAGCAACCATACATTCCTTATATAGTATCTCTTTAACCTGTATATTTATTAGCGTTTTTCTGCTGTGTCCTGCAGACTGCACCCCACCACCACCCGCCCCCTTCAGCCACCGTGTGGTTTCAGCCAAACCCAACCAGATCAACAACTTCTACACCATCAACCGGCAGGAGATCCTGGGAGGGTGCGTCTAATACATTTTCTTCTTTCACATATGACACCGGGAATCTAACAGAATTAAAAGCAGAGAACAGAATGTATGAAATGGAGTGGAGACACAGTGTGAAAGCAGAAAGTAAAGTCCTCTAATCCTGGTGGAGAGCTGTTGCATAACCTCCTCCCACTGCTGAGACCTGCTCTCCTCTCCCCCCACATTCATAGCTGCAGAGTCAGGGGCAGTTATTTTTACTGCAGGCCTTCTGGGTATGTGAAACAGTACCCCCAGCCAGCTGGAGGCTAATCACTAAGTGTTAATCTACTGCTTCAAAGAGATGCTTCTGCTTGCTCTTAATGGAATAGTTTGGAAAAATACTACAACTGCACCACTGTAGTTGTCCCCAGACGTTCTGATTGCTTTGCATTGATAAATATTACAAATTGAATTGAAATCGTTCTGTATGAATGAGGGGCCTTCACTCTAAGAAGATATGGTACAAAACTGTCACTGGGGTGGTACCCCCAAGGGTACATCTCAGTACCTTTAGTCAGGGAACATAACTGTACCATAATCCATTGAAATGATATTTTCTAAGTTGTATTGACTCCATACACCCCGTCTCGTCTCCAGGCTTTTATTTTATTGTTCTGTTTTAAAACATTTGGTTATGAAAAGGTACAAATATGTACTTTTCACCTGGAAAAACAATTGGACCTTAAAACCACTGTGGTACCTTTGAGGGAACGTTTACATTGTTTCCCTGACTAAAGGTACTTAGATGTACCCTTGAGGGTACCACCCCAGTGACAAGCGGGGTACTGCCCCAGTGACAGTTTCATACCTTTATTTCTGAGAGTGTTATGACAGGTTGTGTCACGTGCTAATTTACGCTATATGTTCTCTCATTGGCCGTCAAACATTATGACATCTGTCACGACTATTAACAGTAATGGTAACATGACACTGTTACATTACTAGACATAATTTGGCATGACAACTCATGACAGCGAGAGGCGTCTGCCATGACATGTTTATGGCTTGGTTGTGTCAGTGTTGTGTAGCAGTGTTCATTTAAATGTTACTCAACCTATTTATTGTAAATATCATATTTGCCATTAAAATGCTTTATTTACATAATTTGAGTGACATTTCTTTTCGTTTATCTTACCATTCTTCTCTTTTTGGCTTGCAGAGGCCGTTTTGGTCAGGTGCACAAGTGTATCGAGAACTCCTCTGGACTCACTCTGGCAGCAAAGATCATCAAAGCACGGAGTCAGAAGGAAAAGGTACGACATTGTTATCCAAACACTTCCAAACGTGAACGGCTCATAAAAGACTAGAAGAAATTATCAGACAAAAGCTTTTGAGGATCCATACAAAATGTGGGATCAGCATCGTTTCAAGGGCAGTTTAAAATTGAGACTGTTACTTAAATTAGCCAGAAACTCTACGTTTGTGACACAAATTAAGCTGAAAAAGAATGTTTGGTAAGACTGCACTGTAAAAATTGATAAAATGATAAAAAGTAGGGAACCTGGTTGCCTTAAAATGTTTCAATTAAACTTCTAATAGTAAGTTAACAGAACAATAATCTGTGTTTTACATTCTGTTATTGTTACTGTTATACTGTTATTATTTGAAGTTCAGTGAACTTCAGTGAAGATTTTTAAGGCAACCAGGTTACTTTGTAAGTTAAAACATTGAATCATTTGTTTTACAGTGTGGAGCATTATAGTATTATTTCTATTGATCAGTTTTGTAACACTTCTGTATTGAGAAACATTATAATATTATCATTATCGATCACTTTGGTAACACTTTATTATAGTTGGGGCATTATAATGTTATTATTACTGATCACGTTTGCTAACACTTCAATATCAAGGGACATATTATTGTTATTGATCACTTTGGTCACATTTCAGTATTAAGGAGCATTATAATATCGTTATTGATCATTTTGGTAACACTTCAGTATTGAGATACATTATAATATTACTATTATCGAACAATTTGGTAAACTGAAGCACAGGGGGACATTATAATACTCCATGCTATGTTTAAATAAAACTTATAACCAGAAGTTAACACCTTCAGTACAATATATAAGTCTTCACATTAGAATAGAGAGTTTATTTTTTCATATTAGAGGGTTATTTGTCTTTTGGTAAAGCTAAATGATGATTTATTATTGGATATTGATATGAATCAAAAGTAAATGAGCACTTTGTACACTCAGTGTTTATATAAAGGTTATGAAAAAGATTATGGTGTATAATACACAAGTAAAAGTTCTATAGAAAATGCTTAATTCACCATAATTATTGCTTACTAAAGTAATAATGAGCAGCATCTTAATTACCAGCTACTTGCTTTTAAAGGCTTAATTAGAGCATTCCAAGTGCATTATAATGACCCCCTATACTGTGTTACTGTGCTACTGAATCTTCAATTGAAAACCATCATTAAATCTTATATCTTACAGTTTTATAGTGCCAGAAACCTATTAAATGTGTCAGGTTTGCTAGTTTCTTTGGATGTTTTAACACTGAGTGTGATGTGTTCTGATAGGAGGTGGTAAAGAATGAGATTCAGGTGATGAACCAGCTGGACCACGCCAACCTGATCCAGCTGTACGCAGCCTATGAATCCCGGAATGATATCATCCTCGTCCTTGAATAGTATGTAACCCATGGATTTGTTTTTACAACTGTGAGACTATATTTAAGAGTGAGAACAGGGTGAAAAGACAGCACAGTCATCTCTTGTTTCTATGAAAGACCTTTCTGGAATCTTAGATTGTATTCTGGCCTGATTGGAACAAAAGCAAGACTCAGTGGTGACCTCTAGTGGACACTGTGCCAACCAATCTGTTACATGTGTCTTATTTAACTGTGTTACTCATTTGCTTTTCTCTCTTTTACTCTATAAATATTGTTATTTATGTAATCATCTGTCTGGCAGTTATACTGTCCTTCGGCACTGTGTAGAACAATTGTGTGCAGTGTCTCTATGGTCTAACAGCTGGTCACCAAAAGAGAATCTAACATATTATAGCAGATAAAACATATAGAACATGGGTAAATATTTTATAGTGTATATTTGTAGTGTTTATTGTTCTATTGCTCTATAATCTATTGCTCTATTTGTCTGACCCTCTGTGCTGTGCTCTGGCAGTGTGGACGGTGGGGAGCTTTTCGACAGAATCATCGACGAGAACTATAAGCTGACAGAACTGGACACAGTCATGTTCATCAGACAGATCTGCGAGGGTCTGCGCTACATGCACAAAATGTACATCCTCCATCTGGACCTTAAGGTAACATAAGCCCCGAAATATACTGAGATAGGGCAAAAGTTTGTGCGCCTCAATTTGATCAATTTACATGTTTTGTTGATTTTCTGAGTGAAAATAAGAGAAAACATCCTCTACAGAGAACAAACTTCAGCACTTTTTTAATACACAATTACTGTTTAGTTGCTGGACAGGAAAAAAAGTGGCCTTTGCAGAAGTTATGGCACATTTAATGTCTATGTTTTTCTTCTTCAGAGATACTGAAACATAGAACTATGGTTTTATATTTTAATTAACTGACAATCTCTGTAATAGATGAATAACTTTTTGTTGCAGTCTTGTTGATTGTACATGTTGTATGTTTTCTGCTTTAAAAAAGCCAAAAAAAGTATAATAATATTAATATGTTAAAGAATTCAATAAATAGAAATTGTGTGCTAAATTTGTAGGAAATGTTATATTTTCCTTGTAGAGGATGTGTGAACTTATTTTCATTTAGAAAATCAACAAAACATGTAACATAACTGGGGGTGTTCAAACTTTTGCATACGACTATATTATCTGATTAATACTTGTATATATGTGAAGTGTGCTTTTACTTTATTTTTGATTACATTCTGGCAATCAACTATATTTACACTATCAAATAAAAATACAAGTGAAGATGCACTCATTCCTAAAAATAATGACTCATGAGTTCAGTACTATTATAATGGCTCTATGAAGCTCTGAATAATTTCTTTCTTCACGTCTCTCCAGCCAGAGAACATTCTTTGTGTTAGCAGACTGACAAACAAAGGTCAAGATCATCGACTTTGGACTTGCAAGAAAGTACGTGTTCAACTTTTTTCTGTTACATTACCATAAAGTTCTATTAGGTATAATAACTCTTGCTAAATGACAGTTGATTTTTGGGGGATCATAATTATTCCATGCTCTGTTTCCTGTTGTACAGGTACAAAGCCGAGGGAGAAGTTACGGGTGAATTTTGGCACTCCAGAGTTTCTCGCCCCAGAGGTGATCAACTACGACTTTGTGTCCTTCAACACGGACATGTGGAGCCTTGGAGTGATCGCCTACATGCTGTAAGCGTTGCCACACACATCACTACAGTTCCTATCTGTGTTTTTGTTCAGTGCTCTTTTGCAACGTGGGTCATTCTACCATTGTGGAGACAGATGGTGTCCCACAACATGTCTGCATATTCATTGTTCTGCTTCTAAATCCGCCGACAAATGTTATGATAATTATGATTTTTTTCGTATGTCAGCAGTGTTACTAATGAAAAATTACGCAATTTTAAAACTGAAGCAAAATAACATAATGAATGTAATATTAGCAAATTTCTACACACAATGAGTCTAAAAAACTAAAGTGGCAGTGGACTGAATTTTAGAGAAGCTCAGATTTGAGTCATTTTGTCAGTGGTGTTACCGTCAGTGGTGTTAGTGTCAGAGGTGTTACTTTACTGATGTTGTTCAATATTACAAACTCTTTCACCCTTGAATTATACATTCATACCCGGTTTGCGAGCACAGTGGTAGAATGACACATATATAAACACATTACAGCTCCAAAACCATGAAATTAGGCTGGAACACTAGAAGAACAAGCTGTTCCCTTGCTGTCCTGGACATTTTTACAGCTAAATTCTATGAAGTCTGCTGATTGTTAACTGATTAAAAAAGTACCAAATGGAAGATGGCATCACTCGCAGCAGCAGAGAGCTATGATAAAAAGAAAAATGTCATGCATATGGATGGGATGGCATTGGTTTTATTATAGTATTGTTAAAATACACAATGAAATCATTTCACCACAGTTATTATACTGATATTATACTTTCAACTTACACTCTCGAATTACTTCATAGCCCCAAAAATCAGCTATAACCACGATAAACTCACATCTGAGTAAATTTGTTGTGCTAAAATGTGCTTAGCAGGGAGGATGTAGCAGTAGAGCTGTTCATTCCACTGTATTAAAAAGACTGTAATTGTAGACATTTATAAAAAAAATTAATTGTTTGAATATCATTGGGATTTATTCCATCCCATATCATTAAAACCAGCAACCATCCCTTCCCTAGTTACGCCCATGGCAACCCGTTCAGATCCAAATAAGAAAGGACATTTGAAGCACCACTGAGACAGCATCACTTAAGATTTAATCTTCGGATTATCTTTACCAGCTTGAGTGGTCTGTCACCTTTCCTTGGGGACGATGACAACGAGACGCTGAACAACATCTTGTCCTGCCAGTGGAACTTTGAGGAAGACGAGTTCTTGGGCATTTCAGACGAGGCCAAGGACTTCATCTCCAAACTGCTTGTCTTCAATAAAAGGTGTCTGTCAGTTTATTTGTCCATCTGTCTTAGGGGTGCATGATATATTGGCCTTCAGACAAGGCGTAATGATTTTTGGGATCTAAAAAATACATCAATATTTTTTAGTTACCTTTTATTTCATAGAATCATTATGTTTGTTTGCAACTCTACAAGTATTGTGATCTTAATTCATTGTTAAATTTTGAATGGAAACAAAAGAGTTAAATTCTTGAAATGGCCAATGGAAAATGATCCAGTCAGGATCTTTCCCCCCAAAGTATTTAGGTAGATACAGCCAAGCAAGCTCTCCCATTGGTTAGGCCTTCAGGAGCTGAACTAAAGTATGCATTAAATTAACAACCAAACTGACAGAGGAACCAACCAGTTATTTCTGATTTACAATGGTTGGGCCAATTCTGTGAGTAAAAACATCAATCTGGGCCTTTTGGAAGTTCTAGATACATCATTGACTGTGAGTATGAGTGGTAGCCTGACCAGGTTTCAGTCAGATTACTGAACTTGACAACAATAGCAGCTCTATGTCAGGGCTCTTTACTGAAAGAGCCACTGTAAAACTGCTAAAATGTATGATAATGTCAATTACAAGCTTTAAATAACACATGGAATGTTTTTCACAAGCTTCAAATGTCCACTTTAAATCTAGATCAGCCAAAAATGTTAATGTGAACATCCATTCATTCTTCCACCCACCCACCCATCCATCCATCCATCCACCCATCCATCCATCCATCCATCCATCCACTCATTCATCCATTCCTCCATCTGTCCATCCATCCATCCATCCCTCAGTTCTTTCCCACCTTGTTTATTCATAATGATTTCTGTGTATGTGTTTTCAGCTGGAGAATAGGTGCAGGCGAAGCTCTGAAGCACCCCTGGCTTTCAGACCCAGAGCTCCACCATCTCCTGCATGGGAAGGTACAGCTTGCTTTTAACATTTGTACATACAGTGGAGAAAGTACAGCCAGGTCTTATCATTCATACACACAGTGGAGAAGAACTATTCTATGCTAACCTTAAACCACTCTTTTATTTACATTGCAGAGGAACATGTGCCGATCGCGTAGAAATTCATGTGTGCCTCCCCCAGAGAGCTAATGTAAGTCTGTCACCCACCACAGAACATCCAGCTCATTCAATTAGAAAGTGGCAGCCTCTGCTAAATTTAGGGCAACTCATGGCCTTCAAAGAGCTGCGTTAGACAACATCATGGGATTAACTGCTTTTATTCTGTCTTTCTAGAAACATGCTGGCTTGCTTTGATTCTGCCAGCTGAGGCCATCTGGACCAAGCCTGCTGTGCCATCAGTTACTGGACATTACTTGTACACATTTACCTACCTGTTAGCCTGCTCTGTCTGGATCACGTCTTGCACAATTTTTGCCATTCTGGTAATTACAGTCACATTTTGTGTTACGTTTGTGGAAAGTGCACTTTCAGCTGCTTTTTAAAATTGTTGCATATATTTGAGAGTTAATATATAAAACAACAACATTAGTATTATCGTCTCAGGTTTAAGATAACACTTATGAATTTGGCATGAAAAGATCACGAGCAGGTGGGTCGTGTAACAAAATGACTCATTGCGCAATGTCCAAGAATTTGGACAGACTGTTGTAAAAATAATCTAACAGTTAAAATTAAAACCAAGTAGATTGTCTCCTTATAGCAGCAGCCCTTAAAGGGACATTGCTTTGGCCTGCTGGTAACATGCCTACTCGCCTCTTACAGCAGTGCCGCAGTAGTCTCTGAGCGAGCTTTCCTGGTTTAAAGACGAGGAAAGCCCCCTATTGATGATGCGTCTTGAAGGTGAAAGTAAAATTTCGAAAGACTACAAGTTGTTTGAAATGAATTATTCCTTTGACAATGAAAAACATTTGAGGACTGAATTGATTGAAGTTAATGCTACATCAGTAAAGCTACCCAACAACACAGATGTATTTATCAGCCTCAGCATCAGTGGCCAGCAGTCAGGATGTGTTGAGGGCAGTGCATGCTGGTTATTGTAGTGAGAGAACATTGATGGATAAAAATGATACAAAATTGTGAATTCTGTTAAAGCGATGAATTTGAGGGATGCAATGATGTGCTAGAAATATTACATAACATAACAAATAACAAATTAAATACAAATTTTAGGCCCGATTGCTGTTTTAAGTTGTTAAATTCAGAGTACAGCACTTTCATCAATCATCAATTTCATAAAGTACCAATACATTTGACCAATACAGGTTTGTATAATACCTGTATGAGTCAAACGTATTGATACTTAATGAAATTGCACTGAATGTAAAAGCTAAATGCAAAGACACGTTGTGACTGAAATGACCAGAGGGCATCATTTTGATCTGTATCTTTGACCTTTGATAGACTGTCTGTCTTTGCAGCAGGATGAGTTTGTTTTATAGAAGTGCTGAGTTGTGTTGTGTGATGCTCAGTATTACCTGCATCGTTGTGTATGTTGTGCCAAGTTTGAGCTCCTTGTGAAATGTAAAATGAAATTATGAAAAAAAGACGGACAAAGAATGTTATGACGGAATTTTATATAGTTTATTGACAAAAAATTTACATGGTAGAATCTCTTATAATTAAATGTCTCCCACCATAGATGGGTAGATAGATAATAGATAGCTAGATAGATAATTACATGTACATAATGTGGTTATAGCTTAAAAGTTAGAGGTATTTTAGTGAAGCATGATCTCTTGCAGTGTTTCTGTACATGAATATTATTTGGTTTCCTCTAATGTTGCAATGTAGAACCCAATTGTGCTAGCTATATTTGTTTTTAAATCGTCGGTTCTGTGTTATTTGTCCAAAGAGGTAAATTTACAAGCCTCTCGACTGTGAGTACTGTAACGGTTGATTTTACCAAGATTGACTCATGCATAAAATCTAATAGAGGTGTAATCATCACAGGAATAAGTATGAATTGATATGAACTGGAGGGATGCCAAAATTTGTTGTATTGCCCTTTCATATTGGATTATACAGTACAGTGCAGAAGTCCGAGACCACCCTTCATTTCATTTAATTCATTTCTAGTCAGAATGACCATGAAGTACAAGTTCAGAGTCAGTAAAAAAGCAGAAAACAGATTTGCATATATTGCACAGCTCCAAAGTTCAGTCTTAGAAGATGGTTTTGCATTTTTTGCTTCTTACAATCCAAGTAATCCCAAACACACCTAGTGCTGTTGAGATCTGGACTCTGAAGTGGTCAGTCTGTTGTTCTGAGAAGACCTGCAGCATTTCAGCACGATAGAGAAACACCTGTGGATGTTTTCAGATCTGAAGCAGCTTGATTTTTTTTCCTCTCTTTCAAAGATGAAAGCTTTAAGAGCTGTTTATCTGATGGGGACAGTTTTGGTGGCCTACCAGGTTATGCAGGTGGTTGTTAGGAGTCCCATTTTCAATAATGTTTACAACATTTTTTTGAACTTCAGGTTTAGCAAACTCCTGTATATATATATATATATATATATATATATATATATATATATATATATATATATTACTTATTTTCTCCTTCCTATATACAAGTGGATCATCTAACATCTAATCCCAACAGAAATATCTCCAAAAAATTGAATGACTCATATTTATGAACCTTTCTGTTTGGAAATTAATTGAAGGGTGCTCTCTGACTTCTGCGCATATCTGTCACTGTACAGTTTGCAGTTTCAAAAAAAAAAGGAAACATTATTATGGGAACTAATAATGCACATTAACTAAAGCTACGTTAATATGTTTTTTGAATGTAGAGGGTTTAACTGGATGTGTTCACCTATTATGCTGCATTCTGTGCACTTTATTATTTTATTATATCAAAAGAATGGTCAGACTGAAAAAGCCAGTACACTTTTAGAGCATTTATGTTTTGTATGCGAGTAGTCTTGTACTCTTTCCATATTGTATATGTGTGTGAATGAATAGACTGAGAGAAAGAAACTCTTTTTACGATACATTAAAGTAATTTAAGTCTTATCTTGCTTTGCTTTTTATTTTTGTTTGATGCACAGTGTGGACTGAGTCGTACATTCTGCTGACTGATGATTTCATGTTTTGTTGTCTTACAAAACTGAATTAAGAAACATGTTAATACTACGAAATACTTACTTTTATTTGGATTACAATGCTATATGATATAGAGTTAAACATTTTTATATTGAAGGGGAATCCCACCAATTTTTCAATTTTGCATGAATCAGTCAATACGATCAGTAAAAGTTATTCAGAGTGGTTTGATATGAAATATTCTAGAGAGTTAGATCTTTTCACAATGGTGGTGATAGGACATGTGAAGAGTTTAATGCCTCACAGAAAGTTACAACATGAAATGATTGTGAATCCGCTGCCTGAGATAAGATTTGGCCTAACGCATTCAATCAATCAATCAATCAATCAATCAATCAATCAATCCATCCATCCATCCATCCATCCATCCATCATCCATCCATCCATCCATCCATCCATCCATTCCACCACATTTCCATCAAACCACTCGGAATATTTTTGTTTACATCTCATTGATTGAATTATACATAGGTATTGGAAAATCAATGGAATTTCCCTTTATTGAAGCTGATTTAGTGAATGTACTAAATGTAAACAAAAGTTAACATTTATATTAAAATATGATTAAATCATGCACTGTCAAATTGTTTATTCTATTCAAAGTCATTATTTGACATTTATAAATTGTAAATAATCACTCAGAACCACTGGCTGTAAATAAAAACTAGTTGAAATGATTGTACAAACAACCATTCTTACAATCAATATAAAGAGTTTGAGTTCTCAACCAACTACTTCATCAATGGATTACAAATCATTAGTTGAGGCGATCGATAGTCCTGTAACAGTATCTGTGATTGACAGATTGTTTGCTAAAGTCACTGAAGTCTACTTTCCTGTTGGGGATTGTGATCAGGTTTTACTTACACAAACCACTAAAAAGACAGACACTGCTTCCAGACAGAGCTGTTCCCAGATGTTCTGGCTCCATCTGTTCAGCAGAGGGCAGTAAAAGAAGCAATAAACAGCAAAACATCTTTTTATTGTCAATTGATTTTAATGACCCTCCTCCGCTGCTACTGTGATGTGTAAGGTCATGGCTGAGGTGGTCATTAAGTGCAGATCACTCCTACGTTAGACCAAAAAAAATGGTCCCTAAAGGGACAGATGGTTAATTTCAGCCAAGAATCTAACCTTGCGAAACCAGATCATAAAACTACACCCACTACATCCCTTTGCTGCGTTTTTAGGCCAGTTGTTTTTAACAATGTCTCCAAATAGTTGTGTGCACATGTGTGTGTGTGTGTGTGTTTGTGTGTGTATAAACTGCAATAATGTGGAAATTATATGTAATATATATATATATAATTTAGCCTTTTAGTGAACACTGCTAGGCTAGTTAGTGTTGGAAGCTGCAATGCTGAAACAACAAGGAGTTATAGCTTTGTTTCCCAGCTAAGTTTATAAAATGTACTTCAGTTTACACCATGTATCTTTTTCCACCGGGCGACAAATGACCTCAAACATGAGTTACATTAATAATATGAATGAAAAATGTAAAAACTATTTAAAATGTCAGACAATGTCGCTGCAACACCAGCAATTTGACAACACTTAGCACGACAAGTTCCAGCATTATGAGGCAAATTCACACTTTTGTGAAGTGAGTGTGGCTCAAGGTCACTGTCTTCTTCACAGACCCACCCCCTCCACCCCACTAAAAATTGGCCAAAATGTTAGAAGCACATGAAAACCTGCAGAAGCAAAATAGAAACAGAAAAAAATCAGCAATATCCACAAAAACACAGTTACTGAATACTGTAAAACATCATTTTTCACTATATTTGTACTTATTACACACACACACACACACATACATACGTATATATATATATATATATATATATATATATATATATATATATATATAAATAACAGTATTTGTTTTATTGAACTAACAACACTTTTCCTTGAGTATGGATTACACTATGCTACTCTACTCTTAGACTAAAGGGTTCTATATAGGATTGAAAAAGGGTTCTTTGACTCAAAACAATAGTGGAACCCTCATGGTGCTAAGAACCGTTCATGCATTCAAATGGTTCTTTGAGTGTTCAGGGATCTATATAGAGCCATTATTTTTACTGAAGGACCCTTTGACAAGTGTATTTGTGTAGTTCCAATCTTTCATTTCAGAATAACTGTTCATTATAAAGTCAATTTTGAAGAAACATGTACAAAACTAAGTCTAATCCAATGATCTGCAACGTTATGGGTTGCAGCAAATTAGTAAGGAGCTGTAGTCGACGAAGAAATCTTAGATAGCTTATCAAGAAATGACTATAAATATAGACAATTATCATCTAATAACTTCTTATTTGTCTTACAACATATGTTATAGATGTTATATAAAACATCTTAAAATGCCTTCTGGCTTAGCACATTTCAATCTGCTTTTTTTAAGTTACTATTGAATGAAACAACAGTGGTTATTAACATAGTGCAATTCCAATTTTGAGCGATTTTATCATTTATTATGTTTTATTTAGCTAAGAGAAAAGATGTTGTTGCTCTCTGTGCTCTATACCGGCTCCCATATGAGGGCATCATGAACAGCATCAGAGTGGAGGATCTATTCCTTCCCATCATGTATATGGGAGCAGTTTTTCCTCCTTAAGAGCGCAGGGTTGTGCCGTTCCAGGAACAAGTCTGGAACACACACGTTTACATGTGTATGCCACACACACACACCTCCACGCCGCGTGTCTTGGACAGTGTATGCCGACTGCTGACATTTTAAATGTTCCAGGCTGCAGTTAAAGGCCCGTATAATCAAAGGTCTGTTCCAGGAGACCTCTGCGTGCATTGGGACACAATTAAGCCCCTTTTTCAGTCTGCCTCTGACGTTCGCCCCTCACCTCCATGCTTTCGGGTAAAACGCTCACATTTGTCGGCAGAGGACAGACGCATAACACCCCCTACCCTCGACCCCCCCCCCTTCCCCCGGCAGCCTCCCCGGCCAGCACTTGAAAGCACAGAAGGTTCCAGAAGCTTAATTAAAAGCAACTGAGGCAGCCGGCGTGTTCGATACAGTTTGTTCACCTGAAAAAATAAACTGAGAGGCTGAAGGAGGGAGAGAAGGAGGGAGGGAGGGACGGAGAGAAGGATAGGCTAGGGTGGCCAGAGCTCAGCTATGCTGGGAAAAATGCAAGGTCAGAGGATTATACACCAAGGTCAGAAGAAGGGCCAGAAGAGGGAACGTGGGCGTGAATCTGTCTATGGAGCTTGACTGAAAGAATTATGGCTTAACCCTTTGAACCAGTGGCTTCATATCCAGTTATTAATCTTAAGTCTACCTGCTATAAATTATTCAGGAATATGTAAATTATTGAAGGAACTGAAGCTGTCTTTACATGGTGAGACCTCGAGAGTTGCATGCAACTTAGCTTCCACGCAACTTGACAGTTACACAAAGAAGTCAAAGATGCACACATTACATGTGATTACGTCACTAGTTAGCCAGATTAGCAATTGGTATTTTTTTAACATATTATATCCTTTCACTGTACAAAGTCATCTACAACATGTTAATTACATTTGCATATTTATGTGTAATATAATATTTCCAGCTGCTTTGCCATTCTTTTTTCTATATTTATTTGTTTATCTATAGTCCATATATCTAAACATGGTTCTACATTACACTACATTACACTACCCTGTAAAACATTTTACAGGAAATTGTTGGCTACCAGTTGCATTACTTTTACAGTAATTTACTGAATATTAACAGTAAATTACAGTACATACATCAATGCTACAGCATTAAAATATATTCAATAAAAACACATAAAATGTTCTAATTCAATTTTTTAATAGAAAGAAATATATTCACACCATTGTATCTCTCAGCTGCTGTCATATTCCATGAAGCTGTGCAGTATAGTTTAGATAGATTTAGATAGTAATTTGATAGATAGATAGACAGACAGACAGATAGATAGACAGGAAGACAGACAGACAGACAGACAGAGAGACAGATAGATAAATAGATAGATAGATAGATAGATAGATAGATAGATAGATAGATAGATAGATAGATAGATAGATAGATAGATAGATAGATTCAACTTTACTGAGATGCAGTTTGCTTCTACCAGAAGTGCAAATAGTAGCAATGTGCAAAACAGAGCAACAAGAAAAATGTACAAGATTATGAATTTATGTATATATAATGGATGTGATAATTAAATAAATAAATATAAATATCAGATTTAGAGTCAGATTTCATTTAAATTCATTGTTCAGTCATTTAGATTTGTTGTGTTATTTTAGAACATATCTTAAAA